AAGTCCGCCGACCTGGGCCGGAAACAGCCTGCGGGCCGTAGGTTGCCGACCCCTGCTATAATTGATACTTTCAACTAGAGTAGACCCATTAAATCCACAGGATTTACAAAAATGATGACTTCCCAACCAATATTTAATTCAATAGCTTTATTTGAGTTGTGACCAGAAACTAATTTTAGGCCCAAATTTGCATGTTGCAGTTTGCAACCACTGAAAACAAGATTCTAAATTATTGTACATACTTGTGTATGAATCAATGTAATATATAAGTCAAATACAGATTTGGGGGCTAACATTATAGATTTTGATATGAACCAGAGTAAAACTTAGAGATATTTCACAAAAAATTGTTAGCCACCTTGAGTCCCTGTACCGGCAGGAATGTGGGATATAAACAAACAAACAGAATAATAATAATAATAATAATAATAATAATAATAATAGTAGTAGTAAAGGATTTAATAAAAGAAAATGATGCCAAAGAACTTACAAAATTCCAGCAGACATAACTGTTTTTGTTCACCCTAAAGGCTGGATTGATGAGGAAACTATGGTAAATGGTGATTATGAAGAGTGGGGTGGGGGAAGTGATCAGGCACAGGTGGGGATAAGAAAATATGCATATATGAAAAAGGGTGTAAAGGCAAACCAAAGAAAATACTGAATCAGCAGTGATTACAGCATTTAGTGTGGAAATGTCTGATTTTAATCCAGAAATGCTGACAAACAGAGGATTTACTCAAATTCTTCAAAGACCATTTTTTTTCATTGCTGGAATGACATCACTGGCCTTAAGTAGAGTGGTGAAAAGTGAGAGTTTTTAGCCCATCCCAGGAGAACATAAAAGAAGCACTGACCCCCTCTACTCTTTCAGTGTTCCTTTGAAAGAACGCACCAAGATCTGCTGCCACTATCACAATTTTTCTGCCAGAGATTCATAAAGGTGAAAAGTGGTGCTGTGGCAGAGAGAATAGAGGGATACTGGTGCTTCTTTTAAGTTCTCCTGGGTTGGATTAAGAGTTGAGGTACAGTACTTATACTGCCCCTTGGATAAGTCAAACCAAGTTCTTTGGGTCAATTTTTAAAGTAAAATTTCTAGACTGATACATGAATATAAATTGTAAATGAAGCCTTGGTATATGTGGAGACTGATTTCTAAGTTAAGCCAAATCTCCAAGTAGATCAGAATTTTTTTTCCCAACATTTGTCAAGAAAGCCCAAATCAGGATCCTCTCCTACATCTTGCATTATATTTAGATCCATCTGTAAACCTGTTTCATGAATCTAATTGCCACCAAGAATCAATGAACAGAGATTATTCTGCACGCAAACGGCAACTGCTCACAGTCCATGTGAGAATTATCCATACGTTCACACAGCTCAGAAGAACATTTTCTTCCACTTTAGGAACACTCTTTTAAAATAAAAATATTCCAGATGTTTTCTTCATTATACTAAGAACCCCACAGAGCATCCAAATAAATAACTAATTTCCTTTGTGGTTGTTGAAGAGAATAGGAAATACTCAGCTTTGCTTTCATCTGGATCCTTGGAGAATACAAATAACTATTCTCTCTTCACTCACAGTAAAATACCAAAATACTTATTGGTATCTTTTAAGAAAACTATAAATGGACCAGAGATTAATACTAAGATAGATATAGCCTTCAGAATTCATAACAGTACTGCATATTCAGTCCAGAGATAGTGTGATTTACTGTTTTGAGTGCTGGACTAGAACTCCAGAAGACAGGATTTGAATTCCTATGTTCAGTCATGGAAACTCCTGGTTGACCTTCAGGAAATCACACTCTCTCAGCCTTAGGGGAAGGCAATAGCATAATTGCCTTGAATAAATCTCACCAAGAATACTTTATGACTTTCCTAAACTGGAGTCAACATGAAGGTACACAACAAGAACAACAATTATAATTATCTTCTGTAACTCATTTACAGATTATGGAGTTTTGTGAGCATATGGTACAAGTGTTGCACTTGTTCCTGGTTCACACAGGTAAGGGAAGGAAAATAAAATTTGTCTGCAATTAACAGACTTTCTATCCAGGATCTTACTTCTTTCATAGTCACTGTGTCCATAAAACTTTCCTTCTGCTACCAGAAGGAGATAATTACACTGGTATAGTGCACCAATAGAATGCAGGCTCTGTGATTTCCCACTCTTTCTTTCATGCATACACACACACACACACTGCATGCTAGTTTAATTGGTCAGTGTTATAAGAATACATTAAATGCTAAACATTTTTCTTTAAGTTAGAAAAAACATATCCACTAAGGTGCACTGCTAAAATGTGCATCAACCTCCAATTTGAGTCTGCCTCTTCAAGTGAGAGCCATGTTTTCCATCATAAGTAAAAAGCTTTTATCAATTTGTCAGCCTCATATTAGTGCCCCATCTATTATGATTTATTAATAGCAGGAACATATTGCAGGAAAGTACCTAGTGCCATGGAAGAGAGAATAAAATCAGCATTCTCTCTTTTTATGGAAGCTGCCATTCTGATTACCTTGATTTTGTTTAACTATGAGAATATAAAAGATATTCAAAATTACCTATTTTAAGTCTAAGGAAATAGACTGAAGTTACTATTCTAAGGCAATCTTATACACACTTAGCTGAGAATGAGCCCTGTTGAAAAAGATAGGATCCACTTTGCACCAGATATGTATGGAATTGCACTGTACAACTACATTTTTAAACTCACTAGATGAGGGTAAACAGATTGAAGCTTAATTCAGATGGCAGGGGTGACTGTGGTGGGTGTCTCAAAGACAGACTGAGGAACTGGGGTACAGCGTACACAGGATGGTGTTACACTCCCTCTGAAATCTCAGGCTCTCATCTTGGGTGTGCTGCTGGATTCAGTCCTAGGTCTTGATGTCCAGGTTTCAGCAGCAGCCAGGAGTACATTTGTACAGTTAGGATAGTAAGGAGGATTACAACATTAGATCTGGCTACAGGGACACATATGTTGATTGCTTCTTTGGAAATTATTTAGAAACTTCAGTGGCTCCAAGATTCTTCAGCTAGAATGCTGACTGTGGTGAGTTGCAGGGATCATATAACTTTCTTGTTGGAACTGCTTTACTACCTCCATTTTATTTCTGGGCACAATTGAAAGTGCTGTTTATGACACTATAAAGCCCTATCATGTTTAGGTCCAGACTATCTGAAAGACCACATCTACCTATGTGAAGCTGTTGGAGCCTTAAGATCCTTGAGGAAAACCTTTTTCTCAATCCCACTACCTGGCCTTCTCTGCCCAATGAGGACAGCCTTCTCAATGGCTGTTTCCAGATTACAGAATTCCCTTCTATAGGAGGCTAGTGTGTCCGACTCTATGTTTTCCTGGCAGGGAAAGACCGTTCTGTTCAAACAGGCATTTAATGATTAATTGGTTGAAGGAACTCATTTTTATGGGATGTGTGTGCTGTATTTATAACTTTTGTTTTATTTATTTATTTAATTATTTAATTCCTATCCTACCTTTCTCCCCAAAGGGACCCAAAGTATGTGCTTTAAATCATTTCTGACTTATAGAGACCATAAGACAAACCTATCACAGGGTTTTCTAGGGTTGAAAATCTGTGACTCAACCAAGGTTGCCCAGCAGATCTCCATGGCAGAGCGGGGAATTGAACCCTGATCTCCAGAGTTCTAGTCCCACACTCAAACCACTAAACCACATTAACTGTCATTTCCAACCTTCTGTTTCACATGATTTTACACTTTTCAAAGCTGAATGACATCGTAATATGATAATTTATTTTAATTGAATTGCACCAGCAGCAGGAGAGCGGAGGCTGGGAAGGTGGGCGTTGCCTTCTCTGCACGCCCAGGACTGTAATCTCCTCCCAGCTTAGCAGCACCTGCAGTGGCTTCGTTCTGGGCCAA